ATAAGCCCCATGCCTGTTCATTTGGGAGCTGTCCCTTTCCATCTTGGCAGAGGCAACCACTCTTCTTGATTTCTCCCTCCCAAATAAATCTCTTGGAGGAATTTTGGGTGAAGACCTTCTGTTGCCAGAAAGGAGCAGAATCTCTCCTGGGGAACTCTGCAGAGTGGAGCAGAGAAGCAATGGACATCTCTGCTGAGAAAAATCCCTTAGGGGAACAGAGCAGAAGTAACAACTTTTTGCTGAAACTGGAACAGATCCGGCAGGGTTACCCCCTTAGCAGAATGAAGCAGAGAAATAACTTGGACTGAAGCTGAGGAGAAATGTATCTCTCTGCTGAGAAACCCTCTTAGCAAAGTGGAGCAGAGATCAGCTGTAGCAACTCTCTCTTAGAGGGGAGCAGGATTGCCACATCCTGTGGGAGACCATCCCCCATGGGAAGCCAGCTTCAGGCATAGCCTGACTTCTCGACAAGTCAGGATACTTTTCTCCTCACAGTTGTAGGTATCTAAGATACCTTCCCTTCACTGCTGTAGGTATAGCATGACTTCTGGACAAGTCAGGACACCTTTCCCTCAATTGCTGTATGCGTCCCTTCACAGCTGTAGGTATAGGGTGACTTCTGTCAAGATACCTTTTCTTCGGAGCTGTAACATTTGCACTCTTCCTCTTCTGAATGCTCATGTTCTGCCCAGCTTTCAACTGTTTCTTATTGTTAGCCTCAACATTGTGAAAAGCTAAAAAGCAGAGAGCAAATGCAAGGCCCCTCGTCTATTTGGCCAAATGATGTATTATCCTAAGTTCTATTTTAATTTTTGTTGGATAATGATGTTTTTCCTATAGTGATTAAAGACAGGGAGGGTCACTATTTGAATTCAGGTAAAGTAGAATAGCCCCACAATCCAATTTTTATTCTGAAGGCATAATTCTTACATTCCACAAAATTTGAATCTTTATAAAATCTTATCTATTATAAAAAGCATTGCATATTGGAAATTATGATAGAATGTTAGAATTATTTTCTTATATCCTTATATTACTGCAATGATTAATAATTTAAATGCAAGTAAACTGACCTGAATTTTGTAGATAAACAATAGAATCACCATTGTTGGATGTTAGTAAACTAAACAATGACCATTGTGAATGAACCAATCATTAATATTTACAGATTACTGTTGAATAAGATGCATGATCCTGGTTCAAGACAAAATTGTAGACAATCCCAGAAATCAATACAAGTAAAAAAAAAAAAACCTGCTGAAAGCTTTTTTTTTTTTTTGCTGGATTACTGTAATTAGTTTGTGTGGAAATTCAATTTCTTGTGTTTTCAATGTGTCGGGTTCTTTTTGTTAAGTTTATGGGATTGTCAGTGTATTTCACCTGAACAGTGCTCATAGGCTTTTGACAGCAGCAGGTGGCTAATCCTTAACCTTTCTTCTCAGACTCCCTAAGAAGGGAGTTAATTAAAATAAAAATTCCAGTTATTTTCTTGTATGCTTTATTCTTTCTCTCTCAACTGGGCCTCCATTGTATGTCACACTTCTCTTTAATGTAACAAAATACCTGGCAGAAACAATGACAGGGAGGGAGGTTTTATTTTGGCTCAAGATTTCAGAGAATACAGTGCACTTTGGTGGGTCAGGCGTGGTATTGTGGCACTCTCCAAGGTGGCAGCACTTTGTGGTTTCTTCACATTATGGTGGACCAAGAAGCAGACAACGAGGCTGGAGTTAAGAGGAGAGAGTAACTCCCAAGGCCTGCCACAATGTCCTCTACCCTCAAGCTAAGTATAACCTCCCAACAATGTTAACAGCTGAGAACCGAATGTTCAGCATTCCTTCTTTGTGAAAGAATCTCTAGACATTCTGCAGGACACAGAAAAAAGTGACTGACAACCTGCCAATATTGGCAGAACTGTCTTTGAAATTTCCTGCTTCATGGAAAAGTCTGCCAGATACTATGGGCCAGTAGGCTGAAGATGGGTGCCCGCAACATTGCAGAACTTTGGCTGACTGTCCAGGCAGCTAGATGTCTCTGTCAATTCTAGAGTTTTGGAAGTTGCTTACAATGCACTTCCTGTTAACATAAGTAATATTATATCCTTCTTGAGTCTTTGATGGAGTTGAAGAACAGATAGTTATAATTATAATTTTGCTTAGTTATGATAAAAGATAAAGTAAATACAAATGTTGTAACTGTAATTCTTACTTGACACCTGTTTGTTATATGTAATTTTTCTATGTTAAAGTTAAATTCTTTATTATTTAAACAGAAAATGGGAAGTGATGTGGAATTCCCCTCTGTATGCTGTGAATACCATTGTTGAATAAAGAAACTGCCTTGGCCTGTTAATAGGGCAGGGTAGAGCTAGGCGGGGAAAACTAATCTGAATGCTGGAAGAAAGGAGGCAGAGTCAGGGAGAAGCCATGGAGCCGCCGCCAGAGACAGATACTCTGGAACCTTGCCGGTAGACCATGAGCCTCGTGGTAACATACAAAATATTGGAAATGGGTTAATACTAGATGTAAGAGCTAGCTAGCAAAACACTAAGTGATTGGCCAAGCAGTGATTTGAATAATAAAGTTCCTGTGTTATTATTTTGGGAGTCTGGGTGGCCAGGAAAACAAAGAAGTGGCTTACTACTATGCTTAATTTTTTCAGTGTTGATGTATTTCCTGAAATATGCAAGGCTCTTACACAAACAATAATCCACATTTTTTTTGTAAATTGTGACACATATGGAAATTTTTAGAGCACATCTCATAAATTTCTGAATACAATTTCTCTAGTGTCTGAATCCTCTCTCCCTCCTATCTGGATAGTCGGCTGTGCAGTCTGTAGAGGTATCTTCTGTGGGCTGGTCGAGGCAGTTCAAAGATTAGGAAACAGGATAACAGCACCTCACAGTTACTGTTCTGTCATCGCATAGTTAATTTTATTACAAAATATAACATATAATCACTGGGGAATGACTCCTTTTCCTATAATATTTTTTGTACATTTTTGTAAGGATTTTACTATTATAGATCTTATTTTTTTAAAAAAAAATTGAAATGATGCTTTACTTCTTGTATGTGCTATAAAATGTTTCAGAGGCACTCTACCTGGAAGACTGCTGGCTATGCTGGCTATGCTGGCCTCAGATCAGGTAGGCAGTCTTTACTCACCTTCTTGTCCTCCAATTCCAGCTCACCAGTCCTATCCCCAGTCCCCCAGGGACTGAGCTTAACTCCCTCCAGTAGAGAAGAGAATCTCAGGCATTAAAGATAAGGAAGAAGAAATGAATACCTCAGATAAAGAAAATGTTAAATCAGGAAAAACTTATGTAAAAACATCTGGGAAATCTGGGAAATTATTAAAAAACCAATCTATGACTAATAGGCACAGAATAGGTAGAAGAAACCAGGGTCTATGACATGGAAATCATTTTTAAAAAATTCTAGAAGAAATTTTTTTAACATAAAGAAAGAGGTGCCTATCAAGATACAAGAAGTATACAGATACCACAGAGACTGCTCCAGAAAAGAAGTCCCCTTGGCACATACTAATCAAAACACTAAATATACATAACAAAGACTATATTATAAAAACTACAAGGCAAAAATATGAAGTAACATATAAAGGCAAAACTATTAAAAAATCACACTTTATTTTTAATAGAGACTCTAAAATTCACAAGGGTCTAGATAAATATTCTATAAACTCTGAAAGATCCCAGATGTGAGTGCAGACTACTATCCCTTGCAAAAGTTTCCACCCCAATAGATGAAGAAAGAAATTACAATTAAATCAAATTTAAGCAGTCTCTATCTACCAATCCATCCCTACAGAAGGGGCTAGAAGGGAAACTTCAACCTGAGAAAGTTAATAACACTCAAGAAAATACAAAAAATTCAGATCATACAATCAAAAAAAGTGAAAAAAAATCAATACCACCATAACAAAATAATTGGTATCAACATATATTGATAACTCTCATTATCAGAGGTCTCTATATCTCCAATAAAAAGACACAGGCTAAAAGATTGCTATGAAAACAACATTAATTCTCCTGCTACATCCAAGAAACATATCTTAATATCAAGGATAGATGTCACCTCATGGTGAAAGGGTAGAAAAAGATATTCCAAGCAAATGGACCTAAGAGGTAAAATAGCATAAACATTTTAATATTGGACAAAATAGACCACAAGCCAAAACTAACCAAAAGAGATAGAGAAGGACATTATATACTCAACAAAAGAAAAATCCAGTAAGAGAAATTGCAATTCTAAAAGTTTATGCCCCAAACTGAAGGACACACATGTTCATAAAAGAAATATTACTGAAGTTAAATCATATATTGACCCTCACACAGTGATAATGGGTGACTTCAATAACCTACTCTTGCCAACAGATAGGACATTCAGACACAAACCAAGCAAGAAATTCTATGATTAAACTGGATGGTGGTGCACAGCCTAAATCCTAGCACTTGGGAGGCAGATTTCTGGGTTCAAGTACACCCTGGTCTGTACAATGAGTTTCAAGACAGCCAGCACTATATAGGGACAAACTATGTCTCAAAAAACAAAACAAAACAAAAAGCAAACAAACAAAAATTCAAGGACTAAATGACATCATAAATCAAATTAAACATATTTGTAGAACATTTTACCCAACACAGAACATACCTTCTTCTCAGCAACACATGGAACTGTCTCCAAAAATTGGCCATATACCATAGACACAAGAAACAATAAAAAATAAAAGCAAACTAAAAACAAAAACAATAACTAAACAAGATCAAGGCACAACACAGAAAGATTACGGGGCTCTTTCAACATGGCGGGGCAGCTCTTCAGGGTGGCTGGTGCCGCTATCTGCGGAGGTGCCTAGTCAACGGAGTCCAAATTCTCTCCAGCCCCAACCTATCCCATGGTTCAAGATATCAGAGAAGCCGGCCAAGAGGAGAGTTAACAGTGACCAAATCCTATTCTGGGAACAGTTTTTTTTTTTTTTTTTTTTTTTTTGGTCAGGCTTTCTAGATAACATCAAACAAGAATTAGCCAAAAACAGAGTATGAAAAGTTCCGAGATGAAGCAAAGAAGCTAAAACAGTCAGATGCTCTCCTGGAAGTTAGAAGAAAGCACAAATCCATGGAGTCAGATACTGTGCGTCCCAGTGAAGCAATAAAGAAGCTTGGAGAACTGACAGGGACAGTGAAGGAGAGTCTTGATGAAGTCAGTAAGAGTGACCTTGGCCAGAAGATCAAAGAGGAAGTAGAAGAGGTTGCCAGAATAGCCAAACAATGAGCAGAGTCAGTATCCAAGGGCGAGAAGAAGCTGGGCAAGATGACAGCCTTCAAAGCCGTCTCCCAGGGTGTTGAGGAGACTGATGGGAGCGGACTAGGACAAATGGGGCCCTACCGCCGGCCTGAGAGGCTCTGGAAAAGGACAGAGTTTGCTGGAGCGAAGTTCAAAGAAAGCAAAGTGTTGTAGGCTAATGAGGAAGTGTTGGGGGTTGTGCTACTCAAAGACTCCAAGTGGTACCAGCAGTGGAAGGAATTCCAAGATAACAATGTGGTATGCAACCGCGTCTTTGAGATGAAGATGTAGTACAATGCGAGTGACAACGTTCTCATCCAGGCATCCTGGGCTTAAAGTACAACATCACTGCCTTGCTTTCAGAGATCTTCACAGAGGTCCTGAGAGTGAAACCAACCTTTGACAAGGAGCGCTTTCTTTGACAGTGTGAGAGTGACATCATCCTCCATATCCTAGAGGCCATGATTTCTGGGGAACTTGACATTCTCAGAGACTGGTGCTATGAAGCTACCTACAGCCAGCTGGCCCACTCTATCCAGCAGGCCAAGGTTCTGCGTCTCCAGTTCCACTCCAGAATTCTAGCCATCAGCAATGTGGACCTAGCCATGGGCAAGATGGTGGAGCAGCGCTCTGTGCTGATCTTTACCTTTCAGTTCCAGATGGTGATGGTGATCAAGAACCCCAAAGGCGAAGTGGCTGAGGGTGACCCGGACAAGGTGCTACACATACTGTACTTGTGGACACTCTGCAGAGACCAGGAGGTGCTCAACCCTTATGTTGCCTGGGGCCATTTGAATGTCTCAGTCTCCAGCACAGAATAGATCTGAAGACAGGGATGGAGTCTAGGCCCCTCCAGAGCTAGACCATCGTGGGACAGATACAGAGGCTCCATGAGGGACCTTGGCACAAAACTGACACAAGACTATATATGGCTTCTGCCCCAAGGTCTTGGCCCTGAAAGGAAAGGGCTGGTTGGAAAGTTCCCTATGACCTCCTTAGCGATCAGGGAAATGCAAATCAAAATAACTTTGAGATACCATCTTACACCTGTCAGAAAAACTAAAATCAAAAACACCAATGATAGCCTATGCTGGAGAGGATGTGGAGCAAGAGGAACACTCATCCATTGTTGGTAGGAATGCAAACTTGTGCAGCCAGTGTGGAAATCAGTGTGGCGGTTTCTCAGGAAACTGGGAGTCAGCCTACCTCAGGACCCAGCAATTCTACTCTTGGGAATATATCCAAGAGATGCCCTATCATACTACAAAAGCATTTGTTCAACTATGTTCATAGCAGCACTATTTGTAATAGCCAGAACCTGGAAACAACCTAGGTGCCCCTCAATAGAAGAATGGTTAAAGAAGGTGTGGAACATACACACATTAGAGTTTTACTGGGCAGTAAAAAACAATGACTTCTTGAATTTTGCATGCAAATGGATGGAAATAGAAAACACTTTACTGAGTGAGGTTACCCAGACCCCAAAAGATGAATATGGTATGTACTCACTCATAAGTGGATTCTAGCCATAATTAAAGGTCATTGAGCCTATAATTCATGATCCTAGAGAAGCTAAATAAGAAGGTGAACCCAAAGAAAATCATATAGTTATCCTCCTGGATATTGGAAGTAGACAAGAGTGCCAGGCAAAAGTTGGGTGCACGGGGGTGGGGGGTTGATGTAAGGGGAGATGGGTAGAAAGAAGGGAGAAGGGAAGGATTCGGGAGAGATTGGGGGAATGGGTTGGGTGAGATAGAGGAAAGGTGAATACAGGAGCAGGGAAGTAAATATCTTAATTAAGGGAGCCATTTTAGGTTTTGCAAGAGACTTGACTCTAGAGGGGTTCCCAGGTCCAAGGAGAGGTCCCCAGATTGTTCCCTGGACAGCAGAGGAGAGGGTGCCTGTAATGACCTTGTCCCATAGCCACACTGATGAATCTCTTGCATATCACCATAGAACCTTCATCTGGCGATGGATGGAGAGAGAGACAGAGACCCACATTGGAGCACTGGACTGAGCTCCCAAAGTCCAAATGAGGAGAAGAAGGAGGGAGAACATGAGCAAGGAAGGCAGGACCACGAGGGGTGCGTCCACCCACTGAGACGGTGGGACTGATCTAATGGGAGCTCACCAAGGTCAGCTGGACTGGGAGTGATGGAGCATGTGATTCAACTGGACCCTCTGAATGTGGCTGTCAATGAGCGCTGACTGAGAAGCCAAGGACAATGGCACTGGGTTTTTATTCTACTGCATGGACTGACTTTGTGGGAGCCTGGTTTGTTTAGATGCTCACCTTTATATACCTGGATGGAAGGGGGAGGACCCTGGACTTCCCATGGGGCAGAAAACCCTGACTGCTCTTAGGACCAGAGAGGAAGGGGGAGGTGGGGAGGAGGAGGGAAAAGGGAGGCAGGAAGGAGGTGGATATTTTTAATAAATAAATAAATAAATAAGAAAGTTCCCTATGCCACAGGGGGCTGATGGCTGTGTCAAGAAGCCCCAGCCAAGGACTCCTGTGGTCAGCAGGATGAGGCCTGGCCTGCTGTTCTAAGTATTCCACTGTTCCACTGGCATTGCCTGCCTAGGTCCTTTTTTTTTTTTAAAGCAATGTTCTTACTTCCTGTACATAAGCCTAAAATCCATACATAAGGACATAATAAAACACCAAAAAAGCACACACACACACACATACACACAAACCAAAATCAAAAGTAAAACAAACCAAAACAAAACAAAAAACAAAAACCTAAACAAAACCCAAAATAACAAAGTAAAAAACTGAAGAGGACCAGATGGTTTTAACATCGAATTTTACCAGACTTTCAAAGAATTAACATCAATATTCCTCAAATTATTCCACAAAATAGAAAGAGAAGAAACATTGCCTACTTCCTTTTTCAAGGCCACTATTCCTCTGACATCTAACGGAAATAAAGACCTAACAAAGAAAGAGATTCACAGACTAATTTTCCCTATGAGCATAGGTACAAGAAGTCGCAATAAAATTCTTAAAAACCCATCCAAGAACACATTAAAATTTGATCAACCACAATTAAATAGGTTTATCTTAGAGATACAGGGATGATGCAACATACATAAAATGATAGACACAATCTACCATATAAACAGAATGAAAGACAAAAGCCACACGATCATCTCATTAAATGTAGAAAAAGCCTCTGACAAAAATCTAACACCTCTTCATAATTAAAGTCCCAAGAATACAAGAGATATACCTCAACATAATAAAGATGATATCCAGTTATGCCAGCACCACTTGTTAAATATGTTTTCTTTTTTCCATTTGATATCTTTTGCTTCTTTGTCAAAAATTAGATTTTCAAAGTTGTGTGGATTGATATCTGGGTCTTCTGTTTGGTTTGATTGGTTCTCCTGTCTGTTCTGATGCCAATACCAGGCTGTTTTCAGTGCTGGAGCTCTGTAGTAGAGTTTGGGATTGTGATGCCTTTTCTTATAATAAATTTATTGTGTACAATAGAGTTCTTTTATTGTTCAGGATTGTTTTGGCTATCCTGGGTTTTTTGTTTCTCCATATGAAGTTGAGTACCATTCTTTCGAAGTCTTTGAAAAATTTTGCTGGGATTTTGATGGGCATTAAATTGAATCTGTAGATTGCTTTTGGTGAGTTACCTGCCTTTAAGTTGCGCTGGTACAGTAGTGGCACATAGCTTTTGGGAATATCCAACCAAGATTGGACTGAATTTAAGGTCCACTCCATGAGATGGAACCCTTCACTGACATGATTGTAGTGGCCAAGACCCCGAATCTAGAACAGGGAATTAGGATGTCTTAGAGTTTCTATTGCTGCTATGAAACATAGTGACCAAAAGATAAGTTGGGGAACAACGGGTTTATTTGGCTTACACTTCCAAATTCTTGAAGCAAGTCAGGACAGGAACTCAAGCAGGTAAGAACCTGAAATCAAGAGCCGATGCAGAAGCCATGGAGGGGTGCTGCTTATTGGCTTGCTCAATGTGGTTTGCTCAGCCTGCAAATTGTGCTGGGCCTCTTCTATCAATCACTAATTAAGAAAATGCCCAACAGGCTTGCCTGTATCCCGATGTTATAGCGGTATTTTTTTAATTGAGATTCCTTCCTCTCAAATAACTTTAAACTGTGCAGGTATGGAGAATACCAAGGAAACAAAACAAGTAACACACCAGGGTCTACACAACTATGAGCTCACAGACTGTGGCAGTGTGCACAGTACCTGAATGGGTCTGAGACAGATGGAGTCCCATGGTTTAGAGAAGTGAACAAAAGCCTCCATCCCTACCCAGAAACTATCTGATTGATAATTGCTCAAAAAGGGAAAAACTAGCTTTTTTCAATGGGGTCTTACTGGGTAAAATAAACACATTTTAAAGTATGCTCAATGCCCAGCAGTAGACTGTCAACACAAAACTAAGTATTCTTTCTTTTTTTTTTTTTGAGGTTTTGTGTCTTAAAATACTTTGTTGGGAGTTCCTTCCTTCCTTTCCTCCTTTCCTCCCTCCTCTCTCCCTCCCTCCCTCCTTCTTCTCCCTCCCTCTCTCCCTTCCTCCCTCCTCATCCTCCCTTTTTTCCTTTATCTTGCAGGACTTTTGTTTATATGTTATAGTTTCCAATAGTTTTTATTGTATTTCTGTGTGGGGGAATGTGTGTGTCTCTGTTTCTATAAGTGTTTCTTGTATTTTTCTTTTGTTCTTTTGCCTCCCAGTTGTTTGTTTTGTCCTATTCCAGTTTGACTGTTTCTGTTTTATCTTATTTTATTTCATTATTATTTTCAGATACCTGTCTGTTTGGTAACAAAGGTTGTGGATTTGGGTAGGAGGGGAAGTGATGAAGATCCAGAAGGTATTGATAGATGGAAAACCATTATCAAGATCAATTGTATGAAAAGAAAATCCATTTTCAGTGAAAGAAAACATCAATGCCATTCCAAAAAAAAAAAAATGTTTCTTTCCCTTTTACTTTATGGATTTTAGGAAGTAACTATTTTTAAGGTACTTTAGAAGTGAATAAAAAAGGTGCTTGAGGCCAGAGGCAAATGTCCTGGGGCTCTGTCTGCACAAACAGATCCTATTATCACCTTTGAAGGTTGAGAGGATCAGTGGTCCTTCTATCTGCTCCACCATGAGGCGGAGTCACCAGTGTGTGTGTGGGGGGAGGGTCTCTGTTACTCTGCTCTATTATCTGCATTTGAAATGCTTACATATCATACAAACACATTAACAGAGATATTGAAACGCCTTTATAATGAACACTTTATACATTGCAGAATATTCTCCTAGGATATATTCTGCACAAAAATATTGACTATTTTTGGACATGGATATTTCCTTTTTTATTATATTTTTTTAATTTGTTTACATACCGAGCATAACTCTTTGGTGGATATGGCTATTTCTAGGAATTTTGGTATTATCTGATATTTTAAAAAAGAAATACCATTAACTTATGAGAACATTGATTTTGCAGCTTCTTTTTCCAGCACTGTATATTCTTTTAGAACATTTCTGTTTATATGGTCTGTACAAAGCATGATGCTCTCTTGGTGAGCAGTGCTGGGTTACTCTGAGGCAGCGGAGAACATTATTACTCATAAGGTAATTTTCTCACTTATTAATGGCTGGTTTTGAAGTTGTCTTCTTGTTTTCATTTGTTCGCACGTTTTTATTGTCATGAAGGTGTTAAAAAGTATTGTTCTGAGATAAGCTAATTACTCAGATTCATTCTTGTCATTTCTTTGGGGCTTAGAAACTTTGTCATGTATTTGATAAAAATTCACTTTGATTTTAATATAATCCAAATGGTCTTAATTTTAGTTTCTTTTGAGATCTATTCAACTCTTCTGTGTGAGGTGAGAAGGCACAACAGTGGTGCAAACTTTCTCCACTGAACTTTTGTTTTTTTGAATAATCTCCCTTATAATTTGTGATGTGATGTCATTTTTGTCTTTTCTTAACGAGTTTCTCTCTTTATTTGTTAGATTTTTATTTCACATTAGACTACTTAACCATTTCCACAGTTCCAGTGAAAGCAAATGTGTGATTGTTTATT